AAAATAAAGAGAAAATTACATTTAACTCTATTTTCAAATTTCAATTTCAAAAATCAGTTACGAATAACTTTTGATCAAAAATTAGGTATATCCACGCCGCCACGCCCCATTCCCACGCCACCTCACCTATTGCAAACATGCATCTTCTCTCCTCTCCTAATTAAAATATTTCCATAAACAACTAAAACGTCACCAAACACCACCGTCGGCGTCGAGGTATGGCTACCCTCCTCCGCCTCCTGGGACTTGATAGGACGACTAAAGTTCGTGGATTGATGCTGGAGAAGAATGGGCAAGAGACGGCAATTCAATGGTGCTGCAGGAGATAGAACTGGCGTTGGTGAGAATGTGGAGATGGACTTCGAGAATTTTTCGACAGATCAGCAGAGAACATTGAGTTTCATACGAAAAACAAATGTGAAGAAGAGAACGAGAGAGAGAATTTGAATGTGATAGTTAATTGAAGCCAGAACTGCCTTCCCATGCTTTTTTTCCCCCTAAAGATCTGAAAAGCAAAATTGAAGTATTTATTGATCAAATTCAGTTTTAAAAAGCAAGAAATAAGTACAAAATTCCGTGGAAGAATGACGATAGAGGTGATAGTAGTCCATAAATTACGTGGTATATGACTATGACATTGTACGATTATTAATGCGATTATGACCCATAAATTTTACGATTTGTAATTATGACCTAGTGTTATTGTGATTTAGTATGTGACCGGAGTCCATAAATTGTGTGATATATGACTAATCTATTTAATTTCAATGTATAAGTCAAAATATTTATCAGAGGTCATGACCACCTAATTTTTTTTTGAAGTATTTTACAAGTTTATTAATTTTGAAATTTTATTATTAAACATTCATAGTTATGAAATTTTTACAAAAATAAATCCAAATTTGTTTATAAACCACAAATTCATCCATCTTCAGAATTAACATTCAGAGCTGCCCATAATAAAAAGAAGGCCAAGATGGGTGCTTGCTCAGTTATAATTATTACTAACACTGGAGGATTTGGTTGTCGCTCCAGATTTACATTTGTTACTATATATTTCGGTATGTCACAGATTATACCCATGTGAACGTCGAAGAAGGGGTCAGGTGAGACTGCGTAATATAGGGTAAAAAAACATTGGACTTGTCAATAATTAAGCAATCTACCAGGATTCGATCAGACACGACCACTGTAGTTCATAACGTTAAACAGATTAGACATTCGATTTCGATGACAAAATTGTTCTTTAGTGAATTTATCATTTTTGAATTGAAAATGTCTCTCTGTTCATCATTTGATTTTACAGAATGAATGAACTTGGCAACATGCCAGAAAGGTTCCTTAGCGTTAAGAGTTCAGGGTTTGGTTGTCCATGATAAAAAGAAGCACAAGATGGGTGCTTGCTCACTTATAATTATTACTAACACTGGAGGATTTGGTTGTCACTCCAGATTTACATTTGTTACTATATATTTCGGTATGTCACAGATTATACCCATGTGAACGTCGAAGGGGTCAGGTGAGACTGCGTAAAATGAGAATATCACGTGTCTGACCACAATGGCGACACTACAAGCATAGCCTTAAAACTGCTTTGCTAGAATCATTTCACCATGGTGAAGCTCTATATTCACCTCGTTTTGATGCTCCTCTCCTAATACAAGCCCCCTCCTCGTATACAACAAGAAATCTATCTAACGAAGTCAACGCAATTGCACCTAAAAACTTAGGATCAATTGAACCATGATATATCGATAAAGGAATTGATGAGTCAATTCGATTTATTATTACCTATAGATGAGCCAAGAGAGTACTTATGACCTCGCGAATGGAGAGGAATTTGCACCCCCGATATTCCTATCAATACTTCGATTTTCAAGACCGGCTCTTTCCAGTTTCAACCGCTCAGACATCAATCCCCTTCGCTTGCTCCTATTGACTGATTCTATTGCCCATCAGTTGCTCATGAACACCACGCCTCCTTATTGGCCACATGGCGGCTAAGTGCAGCTGCCACGTGCCCAACCCGTTAGAAAGCATACAAAAAGTTGACATAAGAAATCTGTTGAAAAATTAGTCAAATAAGCAAAAGTAGACAATATCTAAAAAGATTTATCTCCAATGCAATTTGACCATAACTACAACCGGCTAACATGACAAAGGAAATCGAGAAGTCTATTCAATAGATATCAACCTTATGTAAACTAAAAACCTTTCAATTTAATTGCCACTCAGATGACAATTCATGAAATGCATTGAAGATGCTCTAAGGTATTGTTTCTGGACCCAAATTCAGCCGACGACTGAAAATTGTTGTAAATAACATTAAAATAAGGCAAATAACATTTTTTAACATTATAATTGTGCTTCTCAACTACAATTGATATTCATTTAAATCTATTGAGCGTTCTTTTTTAATAACACCTCTGCTAATTGACCCTGAGCAAGTCCTCCAAAAAAAAAAATACAGTGAAATCATCTTAACCAGGCCATTTCACCTCGAAAAAACCAAGAACCACTCTGGTAAAAGCCTGAAACTGGGAAGAAACCAGGTTACTCAACAAGATCTAACATGACATAGTAACAAGAGGACCCTACTGGTACAAATGGATGAGTAGGTTCATAATACTTCAAACACACCCAGAAAGTTATAAAAGGAAATGGTTTTTCCAAATACATTACATCTTAAGAAACCCAAAAAAAAAAAATATTCCAGAAACCTAACAATAATGAAAGGGACAAGTGTGAATAAGGATAATTGCCATGAAATTAAATGTGAAAAAAACAGCTGATTGGTAGAGTGATTACTTTAACTACAAGAAGAAAAGCTACAAAGAGACATTTTACCAAGCACAGAACTTGACATGCGTGTTTAGTCTGCAAGGGAATGTAAATATTTCTTTGAATTGTGACCAAAACTTCACCCTTGTCTAAGCAAACTAGCAGTTTTCCTCTCTTATTTCCCCCCATCCTTTCACCTACCATGAGCCACACTCTCTAATCCAAATGAGGTGGCTGCAGTCCCTGTTCTCTCCGCTGAAGAAGCTCTGGATTCGTCTGCATTCGGCTCGAAAAAAAAGTATGTTCTCATTTCCTGTAATTCTTTACATTTTCTGATTGCATAATGCTTTCTACTTCGAAGATGAGACTGATATTCTTACAATATTTCCACAGCCTCAGATAACATCATTAGCTTTTCATTTTTCTTCTCGTTATATCCTCCTTGTGCATTACAAAAAACTGCAGTTTCTTAGTGCGTGTAATCACAGGCAAACTTGCGTGCTCTACAAACATGCAAGAGAATTCAATATCTTCAATCTTTTTAGTGCCTAAACTACGCATTCATAATTGCATATATCCTCTGTTATCTCATATATGCTCATTATTAAACTTGTAGATTGATAATATAAACCTGCATTCTGTACCTCTATGTATCTATTGATGTTCTGATTTGCATTTATGAACACTCATATTTTGTTTTCGTTCATATATGGCATTTCTAGACTTTCTCAAGAGATCGTTTACAAAGCAAACTCACTGCATTTCCTATATTGGTTTCTCAGGTAGAGGGATATACATCCTGTACGAGGATATCAAAAACTGTCCCTATGAAGATGTGCATGTTCTTTGGTCCATATTAGTGGAATCACATCCACCAGCTTTGCCACCACCAAAATGATGTTCTCACATATTGTGCGAAGCAGGGAGATTACATACATACATAAGATAGAAAAATTTTACTCATTTAGGTTTTTGCTTTTCTTCTTTTCACTTTATAGTTTCCATTGTCTTGAGTGTGCTCTATGCAGATTTTCTTAATAAATTATTGAAATTATTCACTTATTCTGGATATACTGGCCCTTCGAGCTATCCAAGAAATATAAAATAGATGACTATTACTAGAAGCAAAAAGAAAAATGAAAGAGCATCATGCGTATAAGAAGCTTTGCATCAAAGCATAATTTAGTAAAACTTTCTGGGAGAAAAAAGTAGTTGACTATGAAGTGTAATTCTTTTTCAAATTTTGGTCCATTTCTAGCAGTTGACATGGTAGCTTGATAGGTTCTTCACACCATTAAAAAGTTGACTGAGGTTCGCTAAATTTTTTTTTTTTGATAGCCGTGGATGTTCGGACCAACTTGCGCGCACCTCGACCAATCCCACGGGGACTGGATTTGGCTTGGTTTTTCTCTGTCCATCCAAATAATTTCTGATTGTTTAGGAAATAACAAAGTCTTTACAAAAATTATTGAAACAGAGAACAAAAGTTGCATAGAATTCCGGTAACATCTCATGAAATAATTTCCAGTTCTATATTTTATATAGAAACTATTTTAAAGATAAAAAAGGGAAAAGTGAAATACAGAAAAGAAATCAGAAGCTACTTGCAGCAACAATGAAGTAAGCACTAAGACTTGAAAAATTAAAGGCGGATGAAAAATATAATCATGAGCTCATCAGCATAAATATATATTAATATTAAGCGACAAAACTTGTCAAAAGATTGTGAAGGGAGACGAGAAATAATGCATAAATGATAAGGCGCCCTATAAGCAGGAATGATGATACCTCGTGAAAGTACATCAAAATGCAAGACCATTGACTATTACCATACAGGGACGCCATCATCATTTATATCTATCTCTGGAGCCTCACAAGATAACAAGTTAAGCCATATGAATATAAGTTGATCAGGAACTGAATCAGAAGCTCAGTTATCTTCTGGGGTCTCCACAAGTTTAGATTAGAAAAAGAGTACAATCCCAGAAGCTTTCATTTGTTTTAATCATTCTTACAATGTTTCAACCTTGAAACTTTACATCTATGTTATAATACTAGAACTACAGAGAAGCTACTAAGTTGGAAGCTTTTGATATTGACAAAAACATGGCATTCAATAAGAAGAAACTCAAGAATGCATAACAGAATAATAAGCAAGTTCATTCAGACTTTTCCTTGACAGTTTCCATAATTCTATTTGAAAGACATGACTTACATGTTTACAATGCAGAAGAAAAGTAACGTTCAGTAACACCTGGCAGCCATTCTTTAAAGTACGCTTGGGCGTCTAACTCTGCATGAGACAAGGCACCTAGAGGAGTAATAGTTATCTGAAAGAACAAGTTAGTGATAATTAACCATGGACCTTCCTCTTCAATCACTGGCTATGAAAAATAGAACACACTAAACGTACATATCCTCTTTGAAGGGAACTGTAGTCTGTATCTCCGTCTTCCACGTATGATCCCCTCACCTAATGCATGACATGGCAATTTTCCGATTAAAAACTCAGAAAGAGGAAGATAATACATGCAAAGCAAGTAGACTCGCATGGAAACCACAATTTGATGCATAAGTTCTAAAGGAAAAAATGCAAACTTTAAAAATGTGCAAGAAGCTAAAAGAGAAAGAATCATACTTGTCTCTTGAACATAAGATGGTCATGAGGTGCACTCAAAGCATCGGACTCAAAATTTGATGATGAATTCATCTCCATAGTCATTGTTGATAACATCTTTCCTCCTTGAGCATCAGAAGTAACTTGCCTCCATCCCATTTTCACAATACTCTTACCCTGCTTAGTTTGCTGATAACCCTATTGGAATTAACAAAACAAAACTTAGCATCTTCTTCTGTAGGATGATCACAATTAAAAACGAGCAAATTAACAAGCAGCATGTCATAAACTCAATATGTACATTGTTAAGTCAAGGCAGAGGAAGTGAGGAGAAAACAAAGTGCAGTAACTAAAAGATCCAAAGTTTTAAGAGACAAGCTAAAAAGAACAATATACAAATAGAAACACCAATTTTTCACTGTTTGTATCAATGGTGAGAGGGAATGCGGGTGCTAGAATTGAATGTGGTCAAATCTGCAACATCTTATCTTGATGAATTTTGAGTTAATTGTTGAGCCAAAGAAAATTCACAAATTACCTTATGACAGACAACATTTGTTGGCACATCTATATTCAGAAAACAGTTTTGAGGATAAGTTTTTTTCTTGATTTCAACCAATATTGCGCTGATTATTGGTAAGCATGCCTCTGCCGCCAGCCTGAAATCATTGACATTACTCCTCCCTCCAGCCCTGGCAGTTAGAAATCCAAGTAAGTCATACATTTTAAGTTGTCTAATAATCCCATCCATGCAAGATGCATCAGATGAACAGTCTAACAGCTGTTTGTAGATCAAACTTCCATTACTTTTCTCAATCGTCAATCAATTCATGGGTGCTGATGCCTCTGTAATATGAACCTGACTATTTCTGCTCTGAGGTGAAATTCCAAAGGCTGAGATTAAGTAGAGAAACTCTAGGATTCAACAGCCTGGACTATCTGCTAGAGATGCTTGTCATTTGAGCTAAAACTAAGTTCCAAAATGAATTTACATTCTTAATTTTATTTCTGATAATTCTTTCTAAATAAAGTATCAAATTAAGGCAAGAAACCTTAATTAAAGTGTTTTAATTCATTTACTAGAGCAGCTATATTTTATTATATTAAATGTTTGGGCCATTAAAAGGAATGCTTGTAACATGCACATAACAGAAATGAAGACGTTAACATGAAAGTGCTACCATTCTAGAACAGATACAATTATTAGAAATTAAAAATGAGGATATAGGCCAATAAGTGGACGCCATACCAGTTAAGGATAAATTAAGGGTATAGCCTATTAGACTGTAGGACATGTCTTGCATACATCTAAAAAAACTCCCACCTACAAGAGCAATGCGATTCTCATAGAACAGGTTACAATAGGGAGAAGTAGGTCAAATAACCTTGTCTGAGGTGGTTGCAAAAAGATCGAAGTTTGCATCTAGATCAAAAGGAATAGTAAAAAAGGATTCAATTTAGTTACCTAAGTCCAATGAAAATAAGGTTTTGCCAGTTGGCGCATCGTCAAAGGTGTTGCATAGCTACTATCAAGGGTGTTGTATAGACACCGTGATTTGATTAAAAAACTTATCATTTTCTGAAAAAATTGTCAACATTGATTCTTTGAAAATCAAAATGAATGGATTCATTCAGTAACTTAAGTATAATTCAGTCATCGATATTTATTCCACATGATAGAATTAGGCTTGATAAAAAATTTCTAACCAATTGAGGATGCTTTAAGAGTCATATGCATTGTTAGAAAACAGCCGGAGGCGGTCAATCTAAAGTTATAGAAAGAAGAATGAGACAGAAGTATTTGTTTTTGGAATCTAACCTTGTACAAAGTATTATGAAATTCTCTTTCCGTCCTTTTACCTTGCCTAAGAAACTCCCCACAACTCTATTTAGATAGGATTTCTAAGAAACTCCATCGAGATGCGTAAATGAAAACGCATGAATGTATATCCAAGAATATGAAAGCAATGAATATGTAAGTACGACAGTAAGTGAACTGGTACCTGAACCTAATGGACATGTGAATGTAAATTGATGTGAATTATTCTCTAACATATATACCAGTCATATGATATAGACACAGATGGTACACCATTGAAAAAAGCCTCCCGAGCGCCAGCTACCGTCCCTGAATATACCCTGCATTTGCAACAAGATGTCCAGTCGAAAGATGCACAAGCATAGATAAGTGACTGTGATCAATAAATGAATACTATTATGTTTGCAAATAAGTTTGTGGTATTATTATATATACATCACACACGAGGCCAAATCTGGTTTATGTTACTAACACGTGATAACCACAGTTACTGCCCATATTGATGCCACTAATCACCTGCAAATCAGAGATAAAAAGTACGTAAGCAATTCTTTCATCATACTAAAAAGCACATGAAAAGACGTGTAATGAGGTTGAAAGATTTAAGTGAAAAAGGATAGTAGCCAATAAATTGTTGCTCTTTAAACTGCACAAAGGAATTGCTATTCAACGTCCACCACTGTTCAGGCACCATACAAGGAGGAAGATGTGGGGTATATACTATATAGTATAAACCTCTCCATCGTGAATGATTACCAGATCAGGTACTGAAGGGAAGAGAGCTTTTGAAATTCCCAAAGATGTACAGTCAGCGGGAGTTCCTGCAAAAAATATGGGAAAATGAGTAAAGCAGAAAACAAATGCAAACAGCACGGTAGGAAATAGATAGCAGATTAGAAAAGAATTAGAAAAGAATATGTCAAAGGACATTTATATCTAGCATTAGCATTATCGAATTAACATTATTTATGTTGGAAACAGTATAATCCCTCCACCACAAGCGATATGGATAAGCTTGATAAAAACGTGACAGGAAAGAATATTTTTATACATAATGATGAGTGAAGTATAGAAACACCAAGTATGATAAGTTAAATTTGCTGTCTTAACAAGTCAATCATGCCATATTAGTTGCTATTGAGACTTAAAGATGGAAAGCAACACATGGAACTATCATGCACTATAACGGCAACCAAATAAAGCGAATAATGCTTTACATCTAAAAGAAACAAAAGGAATAGAAGACCTATGAAAAGGTCAGGCAAAAAGAAATACTTCCACATCTTTTATAAGCACTGCTCTATTAAAAGAACAGAATATTTGGAGTTGGGTTATGCTACATGTACATCTTTATTTTTACATAATCTTTTACCCACGCTCACAATAGGGTGTAGGGACCACACATTTGAGAGTTTTTTATTCACGTTGGCCCGCGCGCATGTGAGTGGGTGGTACATTTTCAGTAACCCACATTCGGTACAAATAGAATTATCCTTTGGAGTTTCTCTACATCAAGATGGCTTAGATAAAATCATACAAGGTATTGTCTACATTTCTTCAAGATTTTCTATCATCAGTAATTTACAAGAGATGTAAATGATAGAAGCTGACCAGAAACTGCAAAAGCAGTAGCTCCACTGATTTCCACAGGCTTAACTGAAACAGCGCTTCGCCAAGTAATGCTATGACTAACAGCCGACTTTTCGCTGTATTCATAAAACAGCAGAAGTGTAAGAAATAACACGAAGCATTATTCAAAAGCATTCTCCAAAATAAAATATGGATGTCAAAATTTGAGATTATTTCCTAAAAATCAAACTATCATCCAAAGAAATAAGTACGATTAGGCCGTAGAAACATGGATAAACACACATGATATGACTATAATATATCAAAAATATAACGATTAGGCCGTAGAAACATGGATAAACACAAGCAAACTCTAAAGGCTACCAATTAAGCAACTAAGCCACATAATTAACATTTAAACAGAAATTTAAATTATTTAATGGAAAATTAGACGGATATAAAATACATATACATACGAGTCAGGAGCACAGACGAGGACATTAAAGCGGTTGAAGGAGACGAGGACGTGGACGAGAGCACGTAACCCCGGGGCATCGATTCCGTCGTCGTTAGTCACCATCACCGTCGGCTGATCGGCGAGGAACAGTACGTCATTTTTCTCCATTTTCCTTTAAAAAAAAAAAAATTCTGCTGCAAAGTAATTCAAGAAGGGATTTATGGGGGAAATTATTGAAAATACCCAAATTCATATATACCATTTCCAAAATACCCCTTTTTACTA